CTCTTAGAGAACAGCAGGAGAGAGAAATCATGTTTAACCTTTTGGGACCAATCTTCTGCCTTGACTTCTGTATTCTCAGTTTGTATGGATCCACGGTCCACTCCAAGGTCCTTACCTTACTTTACAAAATAAACTCTTTGCAATGATTTATTTATGTTTCTTTCTAGGTAACCCCTAAATTAATAAAGTACACATTCAAATAAAAAAACATAGTAGTCCTTGATCACTTGTGGTAGTGACATTCAACATGAATTAACATGTTCTTTCAGCAGAGCGTAACAAAATAGAGCCGTAGTGTGAATTAAACCATCAACACCTCAGATAATGTGTGACCTGCCAACAGCCCGAGTGATCCAATAAGCACCGGAGGCAGGGATTTTATAGAATAACTTGAAACGTATGAGTGAGACGATCATTAGATTTGTTCAGTCTGACAAGTGAATAAAAGTGATGACTCCTCTCCTTACTTATTTTTGATCCTGTTGGATGTCTGAGTTTTGGATCATGTGATTTCTCTTTTGTGTTTGTAGACATGTAAAATCACTTAACCTCTGTGTACCAGACGTGGTTCTGACCCGCTCACCTGTTTATTCATGAAGACGTAGATGACCGGGTTGATGACGGTGCTTGTTTTAGCCAGAACTGAGGGGATGATGCTGGCCTCGGGCGAGACCAGGCCTGGAGGACCAAAGGTAGCCAGCAGGGCCATAATCCCATACGGCAGCCAGCACAGCAGGTAACAGATCACCATGATCACCACCATGAACAACACACGCTGCTCTCGTTTCTTACTCAGCGATGCATTGATCCCGCTCACCTGGAGGCAGTGAAAATAAAGAGAAAGACAATGAAGATTTTAACAATTTGACAGCTTGAATTTTTCTCCAGTCCGTTAGAAGAGAGGAAAACTTTGAGATGAAATATCTGAGTGACAAAGACGGTCAGAGGTTCAAATGGGAGAGATCAAAACTGCAAATAAGTTATAAGAAATAGTAAAGGAAATGGAGGATAGAAGGAGGACATATATCATCGTCTTCAGGACTTAATGAGTGATAGGATGTTCAGGCAGACATTGTAAATTACAAAAAAGGGCTTTATTATCTCTCATACTCAGATATATGAGAAAAAAGCCTCAGAGTTGTTGGAAACTGACCCCACTGACATGTAAAACATACTTTCTGCATAATGGAAATGCAATCGTTCTTTTTTTTCCTTTTTGGTCGATGGGCTTCAGTGGTTGAAAGATATTCAGGGCTACAAAATTCAGAGAAGTATGATTGATCTCCCAAATTTAACAGTAAACTAGTAATTCGACCTGACAGCCAAGCTGTGAAGACATGATGTTTCATTCAGCCGAATGTTTACAGAGTTAGCACGGATGCTACTTTGAGTATGCTGATTCTGAAGTTGTTTAATCAGAGCCGATTAAATAATTATCTGATGTGCTTGTTCAGTTCAATGTTTTTATCTGAACCTGCCTCTGACCGGATGCTCCGGTGAAGTATTTTATTTTTGGAACGAAGCAACAAGCTGGAAATAAAGTATCGACTGAGTAACTTTAGGATCGATATGCTCCACGACCGAGGCTGGACGTTACCATCTACATGTAAAACTAAAAGTAAAAAGACAAAGCAACTGGACTTCTGTTTTGGAGCTATAAACACATGGAGCTACAGATTTAAACAGCGTGAATCACACCCACCTCTATGGCGACCAGATCCCAAGAAACCAAATGTGGGACAAAAATGGTGCTTACAAGGGACAATGTGGGATACATCACCAGTACTGTATTATGAAGTCATCATAAATTTTAATTTATTGCAGGTTTCACATTACATTAATTGATCTCTGTTAGTGCAAAACATCAAAATAATTCAAGTTGATCAAAAAAAGTAGGCTAATTAAACATTTAACTTCATATTTTTAAGTAATTGTTTTAAGTTGCAATAAACTTTTCATGAAAGAAGCAGCTTCTGCTCTGCCTAAGCTGTGACAAGTTGATAAACACTCAAACGTGGAAAGATTCAGAACCTGCATTATTAAAGAAAACACCTGATAGAAGATCTGGTTAAAAGGAGAAAAACAGTCGAACACTTTAGTCCACAAACACACAACACACATTTACAGCTAAATTATTATGACTTTAAAAACTGTACTCATTCTTTTTGCCGAATCGTGTCAGCTGTGTGAAGTTTTTTTTACTTTAGTACAAGTTCAAACCTTGTTCCCGGTGATAAGTCTACATTATTGACCACCGCAGCAGCAGCAGACTACAGGCAGCCAACGCGTGTTGTTGAAGTCTGCGGAGTCTGCGCTCCTCAGCAGCTCGTGCGCGCGCCGTATCCGAGCGAGAACACTCCTTCCCCTCCTCCGTCACGCCCAGGCGCCTCACAAGTTCGTTTTTTTACTTCTCATAATTTCACCCAGTCAAATGCGGGACATTATTTCAATTTGCGGGACGGCGGGACAAGAGTGAAAAATGCATGACAGTCCTGCGCAAATCGGGACATCTGGTCACCGTACCCACCTCTCTGATGAAAAGGAAGGATGGAATGTGACATGAGCGTTCAAGCTGCAGTCGCTTTGAAAAACATCAGATGTATGCGATTTAGTACCACATACCGAAAAGGCCTTGGTCGGATTTGAAAAAAAAAAAACTGATTTGTTGCATTCAGACAAAATCAGATATGGGTCACATTTGCCTGCAGTGTGAATGTAGCTTAAGACACCAGAGCCCGTATTTATTAAAGTTCTTAGATACGCGCTTGAACATTTTGTTAAGTATTTAAATAGAATATAATAGTCCCCTAAAGTGCAAATGCACTAACTGCAGACCTAAATTTCTCATCTGCACTTTAGGGTTTTTACTAATTTTTTCCAGCAGTATGCAGATTTGCGCTGTCTAATTTTAAAATTGAGAAGCACTAATCTAAAGTTTTCTATAACTATTTACCATTATTAACATTTAAAGCAGGGGTAAAAAGTCATCTGAAGTTACAGTTAAGATAAATCCCTAAATATCTAAAGTGTTCTTGAACAGTAGAGAGGACATGCTGTCCACAAACCAGTACCACGAGGAAACTGCAGAAACGGCACCCTCTCAGATGTTTGAAAAATCACACAGAGCTTTATCCTGTAACTGACTGTCCTGGGTGACGGTTCTGAAATAAAGAGACACCTCCCACAATTCTTTGTCTGGTAGGAAGCAATTGAAGGAGCAAAACTCCCCTGCCCTTCTCCAGCGGCGCGCCTGCTGTGGTTCTGATCTGAGGTTCTGATCTGAGGTTCTGATCTGAGGTTCTGATCTGAGGTTCTGATCTGAAGTTCTGATC